TTTTTCATCCCTGGCTTCTTCCTTCTTCCTTTCAGGACAAAGGCAGGATCCAAAAAAGGGACTTCAGTATGACAATGGCAATGCCTAACTTGTAAGCACACCTAACTCCTATAGCAAAACCCAGAAACCTGAGTTAGACAGCAAGGTTCCCAATGCCACGTCCAGAAGGAGTTAGGACCCCCAGAATGGGATTCAAAGCAACCCGGCTGTTGACCAGGGAGCAGCTTGCAGTGTCCAGTTTGCCTGCAAAACAGGTGTGACTTGAAGTCTTTTGGGGGCATAAGTGCCTTCTCCTGCACTCTAGGGAGCTGTCTCCTTCCAGTCAAAAGTGACAATTTGGAATTCTCTCCTGAAGGTACCTTAACCCCTTCCTTCAGAGCTGGTCCCTCTTTTCTTTTAGAACAGAGTTGTAAAGGGCAAGAAGCAGTGGCACTCCTTTTGTACAACAACTCAGTGATTAGACACTCACCTGTGATGTGACCCAGATTCTTTTTTCTGCCTCTGGGAATGCAAACCTACATCTTCCACTCTCCAGGACAGTGCTGTAAACACCAGGACAGGGGCTATTTGGGGGCACAGGTACTCTCTCCCTCCCGTTGGAAGGGGCATCACTGTACATAAAAGAATTCTCACTAAACCAGAAAGAGGGAGCAAGAGTGAACATGCCTCACTAACCTAGCTACTAGGGACACTCTGGGTCGGGGGAAGTAGGAAGGTCCAATCCTGTGCAAGGATTGTTTCTGCACTTCCAATGAAATGGTTACTGAATGAGAGAGTCCTTGGAGCAGAGACTGAAACCTAAGGGTAAGTGGCAGTGCAGGCAGGGGGCAGTTTTGCCTAAGTCACACTTTGGAAGCATAAGTCCTTTTTGAATTCTGGCTCAAAATTAGCCCCGTTTACTTCGCTGTTGAAGCAGACCAAAAGGTCCAAATTCTGTCCTGAATCAAATCAGTCTCAGTACATGTACTTAACTGAAAGCATTCCAGGTTTACACTGCACTAACAAGGGCAGGATTTAAGATACTGATGGCAAAGGGGGCGGAGATTCCTGCACAGGTAAGGAGTGCCCACATACTCTTTCAGTTCCAGAACCAGGCCCTTTCTCCCCAACCTGTTTCCCTTCCTCTGCATACCAACATTTTAACTGCTGGAAGTGTCCAGAGTAGGCCATTTAGCTGAACCCCCTTCCTTCTCCAACTCTCGCTCCTCTGCAACAGAACCTGGATCTCTTGTATCTGGGTGGTTCACAACCCCTGTAATTCACAGTGGGTTGCCATGTGAAGGAAAACCTGTGAACCTATTTGTTGTAGCTTTTATTTCCACTCAGCTGAAGCACCACAGCAATCCTGTACAGCTGTGTTAGCCAGTTGGTTTCCAAACCCTTATCCTGGAAGGGATTCCAGGTTTAAGGGTTAAGGAACTTAACCTTATGAACTATCCAGATTCCACTGTAACATCTAAAGATTATTGCCAGGCGGTGCTTGTCAAAGGACTTCTAATGAATTTCCTGCTATGACCTTTCTAAAGTGAAGCATCAAAAGAAGCATTAAAATATGGAAGAATACACAAAAGACAGAGGGGGAAAATGTAAAATCTGTTAGTATCCTAGCTATTCAGAGGGAAAGGTTCTGGCATATTCTTATTTTTCACTCTCTCTGGAACTGGGAAGATTGTGAAAATAATCAATTTTCATTTGCCATTTTGCTGTTTTATGTCATTTCACACTACAGAATACGTTGTGCAATCATGAAAGAGTTTCTGTTCACATAGGTGTGAGCACTGGGAGTAGGCAGCTTTTGTAGTCCCTAACAACATGGAGAATAGGATGCTAATCTCCTGCTGGCTTGACACCATTGTCATTCCACTGATTTCATTACTTACTGTTGTTTGCAATGTGAAATCAGGAGACCTTGTGCATAGAGCAGGGGAACTTTGCTGCCCATTGGGTAGAGTGAGTACTTTCAGTTTTTGACACTGCAGATTTATCAGCCTAGAATGAACTGGCTTCTCAGGTTCCTTTTTTAACAGGAGTAGCCTGTAGCTACAGCACATCTATTGCCAGTAGAGGTGCACCAATACATCAGTGTGATATTGGATCCCCACCAACATAAAGAAAATGGATTGTATTGGAAATCGGCCTGATGTGGCTGATAATTTGAACGATAAAGACCCCAGTGCAGTCCCGGTCCTAGCCCACAGAGGCAACCCACCATGCTCCCCTTGCTTAGATCTGGGGGCACATGCCCCCTCATGCCCTCTCGGGGTGCACACAGTAGTGGGAGCCGCCACCCCCCTGCCCGTGCCCCCCAGATGAGCCATGGCTCTGTCCTGCGTCCTGCCCTGCCCCAGCTGGGCAGTTCTTGCCCCATTCCCTGCCCCACTCCCTCCCTCACTGCAGGGGCCCTGATCTGCCCTCCCATGCCCCTTCCATCCCCACTCCCCATCCACCACAACAGACTTACCAGCTGCATGCAGCTGTATTGGAAATTGGATCAGTATCAGCCAATATACCTCCTTCAAAATCGGCTATCAGTATCAGTCCCCAAAATCTCTATTGATGCACCCCTAGTTGCCAGCTGTGGACACTAAGGCTAAGTCCAGACAGTCAAAAAGCTCAAGGATGATTCAATTCAATCTTTGCTGGTTAGTCTAAGCAAGTGAACAGACATTCACTTTTGATTCCAGAAATGCAGCCACATGCCTGCAGTAGCTTAGACCAGAAGTAGGGCGGGGGGGGCATTAGAACATGCCACCCTGCTCAGCTCGAGCAATCAGCTTGGGGCAATGCCAGCCCACCCATCTTGCAAGGGAGGGCTAGTGGGGCAGGTGCAAAGCATCCTGGGATGCTGGGGGACTGTGAGTTAATTTGAATCTGGAGGGGTGATTTAACCTAAACCAGTTAAGCCTGATAATACATCCATCCACGTTTATCTTAAATGGGTTTTAGCCATTTTGAAAGCTGAACTTCTGTTGTGTTACAGATTTGAATTGGTTTCTGATCGCTTATACTGATTTATGTGTAATTTCTGTTCCTACCCTAGGTCTGCAAATTTAAGCTCCTGACTAAGTCTATATATGAAAAAAGAGACACACGGACAATAGGGTCCCTACCACATTGACATTTTTAAGAAATGAAGTTGCCTGTCCCATGTGACTCTTTTTGTCCAATATCAATCCCTGAATTCCTTCAGGTAATACCTGGGTTAAATTACCTAAGAAGTTTCAAAAGCAACCCTGTCATAGCTGTACCTTCAGTCCCGGGGCTTTACTGCTTTGCACCCTGTTTTTGTGTTTGGCTTGCTGACTTGGCTCCTAAATATTCAGACGGCATCTTCCTCCTCTTCATCTATGATTCAGCTATTGATCATATTCATTTCACAAATGATACTTCTCTATCAGGTGGGAGATAATTGACAGAAGCATGGCTGCAGGGGAATGTGCAGGCTCTGTTCTAAAACAAACACAAAACCATACACACTCCATGCTATGCAAGGCATCAGTAATAGTTCCCAAAGAAATACAAAGAGCAGCTGCCAGGAGTGTTTTTCCTAGTGTAAGCTGCACTCCATTCCAGGCCCATAGCCAGCTCTGAGATTCCCTAAAACAAACATTTTCCTAGTTCGACATCTCTTTGTAAATCAGTGAGAATATCTCGAAAAGGATGGATTTCTTCTAAAGCCCTGGGAAACTCCTTGTTTCAAATTCTGACCATAAAAAGAACCACTAATGAGATTTAAAGTCCTCATGTGCCCCTTCTACTCTTAGCTATTCAGAATGCAGGATACAGGAAGCTGCATTAGTAAAAATACTGCAGTGGTGTTGCTTCACATTACATTTTTTTCTTAAAGCACACAGAGAGCCACACGTAAAATATTTTTAAAGGATACTGTCACAGTTTGTAGGCTCAGAATTGGATTTATCTTAAGCATGTTTACAAAGACCATGATATTCTTTATTCCCTATGTGTTTTCTTTGTGTGAAATCAGTTAATGAATGTGAACAACCAATTATATACACACTTAACTTCACATAGGTGACTAGTTCCACTGAATTCATTTGGAATCCTCACATGTTGAAGGATAAGCGTGTATGCAAGATTTAAAAAAACTGGGGTTTAACTCAAGACACTTCTGTGAGTTCCTACGCTAGGGAGGTAAAAACTTTACTACAAAGAAACTGGTTTATGTTTCAAGCTACTAAAGTTTATAGTGATGAATGGAGTCTCAACCTTGCTAGCACGAAAGGATGTAAAAAAAGCCAAGAGAGAATCTGGGTGTTCCTCTCTGATGTAAGGGAATCCCCATTGGGTACAGAACTGGCACAGCCGGCTGTATGTTATCTGTTTCCAAACAGCTGGCTTTAGGGAGTGTTTCATGTTCCCTTAGGGCAGAAGCCAGTACAAACAAAGCAGAGGCTTCCCCTAGTCAAGTCAAGTGGCGACCTTGTATTTCTGAGCATCTAGTCCAATATCATGGGTTTACACACCCTAAAGCCCTTCCAAGTGATCTGCAAACTTTACCATCTGATGTACAATGAGAGAGACTGAAACGTCCAGCTCTGCAATACAGCTGTCTTTGGGTGACACACCACAGCTGCGTAAGAATGCGTAGCTTATCAGACAATAATCTGTGGCAGCATGAGAAAAAGAACACCTCATCCAGACAGAACTGTAGAGTGAATTTAGATGGACCTAGTATATGCCTGACCTTCCAAATGAACTACCAGCTTCCAGACCACACATGGCCTGCTAGGGGTTAAGTTGTGGCTCCCAGGCTCCCATCTGGCCACAAGTCCCCCTAAAGCTCCAAATGCAACAGCATTCAGAGTCTCTGGCTCCTCCTCCCTCCACTGGCTTCCACTTCCTGACTCCACCATAGGGAGCAGGGCAGCATGATACACCCCAGGGAGCAGACCGTGAAGCTATGGCATGCAAGGGCATGTGGCACAGCAATAAAGGGAGTTGTTAGGGGGAGATGCCTATGCAGGCATGTGGTACAGTGGTGGGGTACAGAGGAGACACCCACATAGGCACACGGCACAGTGGCAATGGGATGCCTGCCTGCACAGGTGTGCAAGGCAGCAGGGGTGCATCTCCATGGCATGCAGCCTCTGGTTTGCCCTGGGGCATCCCACAGGCATGTAGCCCCTGCTGGTGTGGCCTCCAGGGTGTTGGCCCCCAGTTACTTAGAAGTTCGACAGCCCTGAGCTAAAATATTTGGGCAATTTCCATTTAAACCAAAAAGTTATGAACCTGGGAGATGTGAGCTCTTGTAACGAACAGCAACAATAGAAGTTGTTTTTGGCATAAACATCTTTTCCTCTTGTCTTCCATGACTGACCATCTCTGAAGCTGCTGGCAACCAGACACCTACTCATTTCCTGCATGTGCACACACACCCATATTATATACACCCAAAGTTCAAGCCACTGATTGAAGCTCCCCTGCTGTACTACTGTTTCAGTACAGCACAATCATGTCTTACCACAGAGAGAGAGGGGAATTCCTGTAATCCCTCTTCCCCTTCCATCCTCAACCTTCATCCATGAAGACAGGACCCTGAGCACAAACCAGCTCTCACAAACTCTCTCCACCTGCTGCAGGGTCTCTTCCACCTACTGCAGAGTCAGCTCACATGATTCTGAAATCTGTTTTATTTTTTTGGTGAGAGCACACTGTAGCTCTAAAAATCCTGTGATCCTCTGGACCTCCTGTTGGCCTATATTTTTTTAACTGTTTACCTTAGTTCCATCTAAATGGTGTTACAAAATGAAACAAGGAGGACATTGTCCAGGTAGCATATGACACCCATGTCAAGCACAATAATTTCTTCCAGACTGGCATTAACCTCTTCAGAACCTTGGGAAAGATCAAACCGATCCCAAGAGGTGGCATTTCTGATAGAAAAGGGGAGGCATTTTTATGTCTCACTTGCATTGTTCATGATCTCTGTAGTCATCCATGTCCACATCAGAATCAAAGAGAGAGTGACCAGTGTAATCTGTGTCAGGGGTATGGGAAATACTGTTCTCTGTGCCTTCCTCATCAAATGTTTCTGTCCTTGAGTAAAAGCTGAAGTCCTGCAATGGAGTCTGAGCCTTGCTCATTTCACTACTTTCCTCAGATTCATACAGAGTATTATCATCATCATGGTGCCACTCGGGCCAGAATTTCCTTCTTATCCTTTCACAGTACATAGCAAGATTAATGAGTTCACCTGCAACATAGTGAAAAAAGCCAGTGTTAGTGCATCTAGGGACTCATCCTTAGATACATTCGCTACCACGGAAATCTAAGGAAGCTCTCTTGAGCAAAATAAATAAGGTAGCAAGTAAAAACCTCTCTCCAAAAACCTAAGCTGTAATCAAGCATCTTAACGGTACTGTTTACAAGTTCAATCGAATTTAGAAGATCTATGATTACTTACCTGTAAAAAGCAAGGATCAATGTGAAAAAATTATGGATGGATGTAACTTTATTACCAACCACAATTAATTTTTTAAAAGGTGACTCTAGAGAAAAGAATGACTATTTTAAAAACTGATCACCGAAAAACTGTTATAGCAGGGTTGGCAACTCCCAATACATGTGCCAGAGCATGACACACAAAGGCATTCTGCTTGGCACGCACTCCTTGGGGTGGACAGGGCGGAGCTGCAAGGGGCCCAATCCTTGTTGCAGCAGTACATCCCCAGCCCTTTCCATGCCATCTGCCTCGAGGTACATGTGCACCTGCTGCTGGCAATGAGCTGGGCCAGGGCTCTGCAGACCCTGGTGCAGCAGCTTGCAGCTTCCCCACCACCTGCCATGAGCAGCCCATGTTCCATGGTGGGCAGCAAAGGCCTGCCCTGAGCCTGGGCCAGCTGTGGCAGGCAGCCAAGAGGCTGCAAGCAGCTGCACCAGGGTCTAAGTGTGTATGCATGCCTCGGGGCAGACAGCGACCCAGGGGCCAGGGCTCTGCTGCCGCAACAAGGATTAGGCTCCTTACAGTTCCCCAGCCATCCATCCCTGGAATGCCAACGTTTCTTCACAAGTCGAGGTTGTGGGTACTTTTGGCACTCTGCCCAAAAATGTTGCCAACCCTTGTGTTACAGATTTGGCAGAAACCTGGCATACTGAAATGAAGTGTAATTGGAAAAGCCAGTATTTCTTAGGGTGATATCTTTTATTGGACCAGCTATGTAGCTTTGATAATGTTGGACAAACTTTCAAATGCCAGACATTCTTCAGGTGTAATTGGAGAAAAGATTTGATTTTCAACCACCAGATGGCAGCATTGCTCACAAGATAAATTTAACAGGCTTGTATATGATCACTTCAGCACATTTTTAAACTAGTAAGTATATGTAAGTATGGGTGGGTGCATTTAGGGTTAAGATACAAACACTTCAGTGAAGCACTAAACAACATATACATCCATTTATTTTGGACAATGTGTTATCACCTGACCCTAATCAGCTCTAGTTATCAAGGGCAATACTGCAGTGTGGGTGTTGCATACGATGGGAGCTTCTATCTGATTATTTTGGTAGGTAGTTGGATTTCAGCTAATATGGCATTAATCCATTAAGACCAAATATGCTCAGTTTACAAGTAGAAGATTGTTTTTTCTCCCTAATTAAGTGTGTACACTCACTGTGACATCTGAAAATTCAAGCTTGGATCTCTCCTCTTCCGTATCTTCAGCAATAATTGAGGCTCTTGTTTCAGCCGATACTAGGATAGTACCCAGTGCGAGAGTGGCAGAATATGGCCCATTGTATTTTCCCTTTCAAATGCTTGAAAACATTAATTACTTAGCACCTATTAATAAATTAATAACTAATGACACTGAACTAAAATAAATTAATAAAAGCATTAACTATCAATAATCTATTAACAAAATCAACTAACAAAACAAAGACCAAGTTTCTTTAAACAGAAAGATGTAGTATAAATTACCAAGAATGGCAACAGGAAAAACTAGCAAGAAAAACTTAGAGAAGAAAGTGAATGAAAATTGGCATAGAAAAAACCACTGTAGATGAGGGATGTCAAACATACACCCCTCAGAGCTGCTTCACTTGACCTGCTGGGCTACTGGTGGGCTAGGGAATTTGGGGGCATGGCTTGCTGTAGAAAGCAGGGCTCTTGAGCCCTAATGGATGTGGCCCTTGGTGACAGGATGGCAAGCAGACAGAGATAGCCCCATTAGCCCTGCAGTCACTTGATCCATCACCGATACTGTTACTGCAGCTAGCGGCTGCTTGGCCTACAGTCACTTTCCCTACCTCCTCTGCCACCACCCCATGCGGAAGCCTTCACTCTATACCAGAACTGCCACCCCAGGCTAGAACCAGCCTATGAAAAGCCCTGTTGTCTGGATCTGGCTCAGAGCATAGAGTGAGCTTGAAGAAGATAAGTGCAACAGCAAAGGCTAGAACAGTTTTGTAGACTATTAAGCACTCCTCCTGTCTCCAAATATTCTGTGAACTGAAAGTGCTCTCCTGCAAGTATTGCAATGAGATCTTCCTTAAAGCCTGCTCCAGACCTGCAAGTGAAGGATCCTGTGGAGGGACTTTTGACAAATGAATGGTACTCACATCTAAGATTTTCTTACCTTTGATTAGTCTCTCAGGCCTTGTGCCTGGCAACGTCCACATTGCTTGTGCTAGATGACCAAAGACAGTGGCATCAACAGTGGAAAGCTTTGGTCCCATGATGTACTTCTTGTCACCTGCAGATGGCAAAACACCAAACATTTACAGACCTGCACATAACTTCCTTACATATAAATACCAGTCAAATCACTGGCTGCACCTTTCAAACATATTTCTTCCTGAAATTACTTGGCTGGCCACCTGTACACTGTAAAAAAAATCAATGTCTGGAGCCTATGCCTTAGCAACTGTATATGGCCTGATTTATAGCCAGATCTCAGAGCAAATCCTGATGATTCTATGATAATTCTACAGAATTCCCAGGGTTCTTTGGGAAAGAATTCACCACTGCAGCTTCTCCATCTGCATGCCAATTAAATTATACAGTTACAGAACCACCAGCATAACTCGCACCTCTCCTCTCTGCCTCTCTGGCATACTAGGCAGAACGATCCACCATGTCATTCAGAGGATAAAAGAATTACCTGTTTTGATGTGTTCAGGGCCTTTTATGTTAGTAATGGGGCACTGGAGGTATGATTTCCTCTTTCTGGAAAAAATTAAATTTGCACCAGGATGACTATCTTGATGGAAGGAAGCTGGTAGCCCAATGGGCCTCTTGCTAGTAGAGATCTGGTTTCAGGTCTTCCCCTCAGATTACAATGAAAATGAATGATGGCCTCTGCTAATCACTTATTCAAAGTCATCCAAATGCAAATCATAACATGATTCAATAACACTAGCCTGCTCTGCCTGAGAGAGACCTAGGGCTGGAGACCCAGGTATATGGTGCAGTTCCAGACTAGAATGGCCATGCAGAGGTTGTAAGGAAGTTTGCACAGTACCTTTTCACATTTGCAAGTTTGCAAAGGCCCTAGCCATGGCTGCTAGATCTCAGAAATAATACCCAGTTTCACCCTAGAATTTTAAAGCAATCTGAAGTACTTCTAAAAGAGGCCAGAAAAAACAGTCCAGGGGTCTGAACTCCTCTTTTCCATCTTCAGAAATGGTAGGTATGTACACAACCAAGGCAAAGTTCCCAGGCTGTCTCAGATGCACATTGCCATGTTGGGTTCAAAACAAGGGAGCATAAACAGGGTCTCATTCAGTCATTTGACCTCTTAGGGGAGATTGCCAGCACTAGTGCAACAGTGATAGTGATCTGAGTTATGTGAACACTAGTTTGCGAGAAAGGAAACGCACATCACCAGCTCATTTCACCAAAGCAGTTGAAAAGTTAATTGACAACTGATCAACGCTATAGTTATAAACTGCCAGCTATACTCACCCCTTTCTTCTCTGCCAGTCCTGTACACTGGGCAGAGAACTGGGTAAAGCTAAAATACTTTTGGATCAGTGCTGTGATACATTTCCCCCTCTTCCAAGGTGTACCAAACTGGCAATTTTATTATCAACTTCTTAAGCAAGTGAAATGAGAATCATATATGAAAATCAGATCCCTTAGATCAGTAGTTCTCTGATCTAAGGAATCTGACCCACAGGCAACAGCACTGAGCATGTAACAAGCTGCAGCATCATAAATTGCTCTCCCTGTCAACCTCAGTTTTAACTTTCTAATTTCCTGTGGCTGCAAGCAATATTGGCAGGTCTTATAGGCAGCATGGTGCTTACAAGCTATGGGTTGGGAACCATTGCCTTAGGTTGCAAGCTCTTCATGACAGAGCTGTCTTTTTCATTTTGTGTTTGTACTGTGGCTAGGACAGTGTGGTGCTGACCCATGATAGGAGACCTTGGATGCTACCACAATACTAATAAATATGGTAGGAAAGAAGATTTATTTTACACAGCAGTTCAAAGTTGCCATTAGCAAAGGTCCATCTAGCATGAGCTTGCTTCACAGCACGCATACCCATACAGCACAATACAGAGAAGAGAAGTATCTCCCTGCACACTATTTTATGAGCCATCCCCATATTTTCAAGGTCAGCCTAGATGATCTAATGCTCCCTTCCGGCCTTAAATGCTATAAACTCTGGGAAATATTGTCTCTAATTGAATCTTTCAAATCCATTTACCCCACCACTTGGGGATGGTCTTCATGGGTTTGATTTAAATTGGTTTTGATTTGCTGGGTTTTCTAACTGTAGGTTTATTAAACAATTTGAGCAACGCTGCACAGCAATGCAACACAGTGTTTTCCAAAATCCTACAGCCTACTTCTCTGTGGTACTAAATCATAGCAAAGCAGCACTATGAATGTGTGATAATGATAACTCCCTGTAAAAAGGCAATAATAACGATAACATCAACAACAATAGCAATAACAATAACAACAACAACAACAATAATAGTATATCAAAATTGTGCAACATTTTCCTGCTTTTTCATAGTCAGGCAACCCCCCTACCTGAATAGGATGCTCAGGTAAAGAAACCATCTGACAGCGAATAAATTTTGCAAGTGTATTTGTGGTAATTACAGTGTCAGCTCTTTAATTCTCTCATACAAATCTCAAAAAATTGCTCCCCAAATGAAAATTGTATATTTTGCGCTAAAATCCCATTTTAACATCAGGCACTTGAGATAATATAACTGAGTTCAAGACTCAAATCCAGAACTGTGGGACATTAAGAGATAACATGCTCTTTAGAAGTGATAGTGGTAAATTTATTCACCCAACTCCTAGCTCAGGAGGGGATGACCTCAGCTGATCTCTTCAGGCATCTACCCAGAATCTATCCAGAGAAGGCACAAAGCTAGAACGAGTGGGGAAGGAAATAGGGTTTCCTGCATGTCTGTTCCCAGGGTTCCCTAAAAATTCAATATTTGGCCTACCAGCATGACTGTGACCTAGCCCTTAGTCTCCTGTATGAGCTACTTGAACACTGTGTCCAGAAGCACAGGAGTAAGCAGAAATCCCCGACGTGCTTTGTGATCAGCCTAGCCAGCGGGAGTCGTGTCATAATTTGCTGCTGGTACAAACCAGCATCAAATTACATTGCAGACAAGGGTCTGAGACACTCTGCCTCCCAGGGAAACACTTTCCCACCACTCTACTCAGGGCCATACTTCAAGTCACCATCTGCCTTTAAAGGATGGCAAGAAATCATCAAACATCCAGAATTTCTTCAGGATCTTTTCCCTTCAGGACCTTAGTTAAAAATCAAAGTAGCAAGGAATCCTCCACAAGGATCAGGAAGAGTCTGATGGCAGGAGAGACCATCCTGCAGCACCACAGGAAATCAATTGAAGGTTCAAAATTCTCCCAGTGCACAACACCCGTGTACTCCACTCTGCATGAAGTGCTGTCCCTGAAACAATTCAGTCACCACCCTGCCCACTTTCATACCCCTGATCAAAATACACCACTGCCAGGGTGCCTGATTCACACCGCCAACTGAGAACTGCTAAGCAGCCTATTGAGCCACCCACTAACATGTGTTGTTCATTTGCAGCTTCAAAAACAATCCTGAAACGTACATTTGTGCAGGCTGATATTCTGTCACCAAGTGTTCCCGTCTGCTTCGCCTCCCAGCCTTTCAACCTCTCCAACTCCAGATTTAGGAGTTTACCCTTGGGGCAAGGTTAACATTACTATGGACCTAACTTTTGCTTACAACGCCCACTTTAAGGCTGCCATGCAACCCCAGACTAGAGAGGAATTGGGATTGGTGTTCTGCCCTGACATTCGAGAGGTTCAATGTCCTACTCTGCCACAGATTTCCTACGTGACTTGGGTAAGTCACCTGGCACACAGGGACTTAGGCATTGAAATGCCCAACTTTTAAGGGCCTGGCCACCTAGTAGATTCAGGCCCAAGGTAGGCACCCAGTTGCCCATACATTGTATGGGGAGAGTTATGTGCATACAGAAGGGGTTCACAGAAACCAGCAAAGGGTCACCAAAGCAAATCAATGAGAAATGCCAAGGTAGTTAGACCTCTAACTCTGCTTGAGGTGTTTGGCAATGAACCCAACCCTAGAGGTAGGTACTTAAAACATCAATCCTTTCCTCCAAAAATGACACCCAGCTAAAGATCCCCAACAACTTATGGGGTTAGGGAACTCATCATAGAGACCGATTTTTCAAGCCCCCACTGACTTACAGCAATGTTATACCCCCTGAGAGTGCCTTAGCCACCAGACTTGGGGGTCAACCTCTCTCTTTTGCCCTAAGGAATATTTAATTATTTATACAAAGTGGAAAAAGCTTCCAGGGAGCTATTCACCACACACGAGCCTGGTGGGGCTTGGGCACTCTCCTAGAAAGTGCATAGACGTATGCAGCTTCCCAACATGGATCTTCCACACCCTAGTTGAGTGCACTGGTCATTGTATTAGGAGACACAGATCAGCCAGTAACACTCATCCCTTTCATTTGTTTGGCTTAGGTGTCCCATGGGTAAGATGCCTGGAGAAACTCTAGACTACCTGGTGAGGGTGCTGAGCATCTCAGCTGTGTCAAGATTCAGGCAGGCTTGCCCATGCCTACTAGCAGAAACTTCAGTGTCCCCAAGGTTATGCAGGGATTCTGTGAATGCCAGGGGTGCCTAACTGTTGGATCTTTTCACGTTTCAGCTCCTCATCTGTAAAATGGGACTGGTGCTTCTTTATCTCATAGGATAGGCCACTGTGAGGAAAAATACATTAAAGATCAGTCTGCTATAAATGGGAGTTATAAGTTAGGGGGTCAGCAACCTACAGCCTGTGGAACCACTGGATCCAGCTTGCAGAGCTTCTGCAGCGAGGGGTTTCACTTGGGCTGTGGCCAGAAAGTGGGGAGGTTCACCTTTGCTGTGTCCAAGCTGGTGGGGAATCATAGCAACACCTGGTCCCAATACCAGCCTACCTCTGGCCCAAGCTGTGTCATTCCAACCTCCCGCAGGAAAAAGGTACTGGCCATTGATCTAAGTCCCTAAGATAAAGGAAAAAATCCAAGGAAAAGAGTACCGTACTAACTGCATCATCTCTCTGACAACTTAGTTGCTTCTGATGTGGAATCTCTAGATATAACCTATGTGGAAGTAAAAGAACTCATTGCTCTCATGATTCAGAGCTTCTTCTGGACACCTGTAGGGCTGAGAAGCCTTTCTCCCCCCCAAACCCATTTATGTATT